GCTAGCATTTGACAGTGTCTGTTACTTTTGGACCCTTAACTTGTGTTTCAAAAACAAAATACTTAAACATTAGAATACTAATCCACTGCCATCAAGTTGATTTCAGCTCTTAGGCGGCTGTGTAGGGTTTCTGATGACTGTCGATCTTGACAGAAGCTGAAGCCTTATCTTCCTCTAGTAGAGTGGCTGTGACACTCCAGCCTTGTGGGTGGCAGTGCAGTGTTTAACCTGAGTGTGCTAACAGGGCTGCTTCTGAGATAACTAGCTAAACCAAAGCAAAATCAGTTGCCATCAACCAATGCTACCTCTTAGTGATCTTGTGCATGTCAGATCGAACTGTGTTCCTTGGGTTTTCAATGGCTGCTCCCCCCTCCCCCCCAACTAGATTACCAGGCCCTTCTGTGATACTCTGGGTAGGCTTGAACTTTTCGGTTAGCAGCTGAATCCCAATGCTTTGTGCCTTTCAGGACACCAAAATTAGCTACCAGGTTTGGGTGTTTGTTTTGTTTTTAAGTTATTGCAATTCCTTGTACAATATACTCATTTTATGAACAGCCAAGTATCTCATGGCAGAATAAGCCGAAAATATTTCATTTGAAATTAATTGAAAATATTTTTCTACATTTAAAAAAATCTTACCAAACATTTTTGCTAATTATGGCACTGAATGGCTGTAGTTCAAATCCATCAGCTGTTCTGCCGTTGAAAATCAAGGCCCCAGAAACCCTGTGGAGCGCAGTCTTTCTGACCGACAGGGCCACTGTAAGTCGGCATTGACTTCATGGCAGTGGGCTTTTCTTGTCAATTCACATTCATTTTCTTGTCACCAATTTAGGGGTTTCGGTTTTTCATTGAAAATAGTGTGTATGCAACCGCTGAAGACAAAGCGGGTGAATAAGCAAATGTGGTGAAAAAAGCTGATGGTGCCCGGCTATCAAAAGATACAGCGTCTGGGGTCTTAAAAGCTTGAAGGTAAACAAGCGGCCATCTAGCTCAGAAGCAACAAAGCCCACATGGAACAACATATCAACCTGTGTGA